ATCAAAAGACGAATTGCTTTAGAAAAATTTGCTCTCAGGGACCTCTCCAGAGTGCTGAAGAGCAATGATGTCAGTCTAGAGATTAAGGTGCACCTGATCTAGGAAATAGTCTTCGAGATTACTTGCTATGCATGCATCAGAGAGTTAGATGATGCCTGAGGATGATAGAAGAATTGATGCCTTTGAGTTGTGGTACTGGATCAGAGTATTGAAAATACCATGGACCACCAAGAGAGAAAAAACCCAGTTCTATCTTAGAAAGAGTGAAATCAAACTGCTCCATGGAGACAAGAATTTTGAGACTCTATCTCACATACTTTGGTCATGTTGCCAGGAGGGAGCAATCCTTGGAGAATAACATCATACTTAGAAGAGTGGAGGGACAGCACAGGAGAGGAAGACCCCGGACGAGATGGATTGAGTGGTTAATGAGGGGAAGTTGTCAGAGACAGTAAGATTGTCTCAGGATAGAGCAGGGTTCAGAGCTGTTGTATGTACATCGAGTTGCTATGAGTTGGAGTTGACTCAATGGTACATAACAACTGAGGAAGACCTTAGACATTGCTGCCCACTAAAATTTTGTAATGATAGAAATCTAAAGCATCCAGTGTCAAACATATGGGACAGGAAGGGACCCTAGGGACAAGTAAAATTATTTATGAATCTACCAATAAATCTACCGATGAATCATTCTTCCATATTTAATTATGCTTCACCCTATTGAGAACAATCTGCATATCCCCATGGGATTTTGTCATTTTTTCCAAAAATGAAAAGTGATTTTTTTCCCATTAAATATTTCAAAGAATAGCTTGCACTCTTATCTCAACAACAGTGAAAAACTTAATGTTCCTTTGCTATCTCTGAGAATTCCCACATTTTCCTAGCTGACTTTTTTTTTTTTTAAATCACTGTTATCATTCCCCCCCTGCTCTCCACCCTGCTTCAGTCCATGATAAAACACAACCTTTTTCTGTCATTTTACCCAAAGTTGCTCTTCCCTGAAGAAGTTATGTATAGTACAATTCACCTTAGGTTGTCTGTCTGTCCGTGGCTAATCTCCCAGCTTGGACCCCTCTGTCTGCAAGATCCTGGTGTCCTCGCATCTGAATTCGGTTATAATCTTTTGTTCTTCTTTCTGAGTCTCTCAGAAGTTCCTATTTTCTCCCATTTTTTAGAATGGAGATTAAATTCCCTCTCATGCCCTGTCAATTCTGGTCATGTCTTGTACCTGAACCCTTTTATATCTAGAGAGACCATCGAGATACTCTCCTCACCTTTGATGGTCTCTCCCCTTGAAAGAGGAATTTTGCACGCAACATTTAACAAACTTTGGCCTTTCATGCATATCACCTGTCTCAATGTTCATTCACCCATCCACAGTTTATATATTGATTGTCGCCGTTTATATATTGGTTGTCACCATTTATATATTGATTGTCACCTTTTATGTATTGGTTTATATATTGATTGTCACCATTTATATATTGATTGTTTTAAATATTGATTGTTGCCATTTATATATTGATTGGTTTATATATTGTCGCCTCCACCCATGTTTCACTGTAGCCTCTCACCCTCTAGGAACTCAGAACTCGCTGGGAATTTCTTTTTCTCTGATAACAGCAGTTGCCAAGGGAAGATAGATAAGAGATGCAGGACAGGAATGTTGTATCTATACTTTGGACAAAGGAAGTGATGACAAAACCAACATTGGGGTTAAGTAGTCAAAGACAAGTGTTATTTCAGATCACTCACTTCAGGCTCTAGCATAGGAGTGAAATTCTTGAAAATGCCAAAAGATGCCGAGTTGGTGGAAATGTGTACACACAGTCACCCCCAGATGCATCCTGATACTTAATACTGTACCCCCAGGGCAGCTCCCATTGCATGATGGTGAAGAATAAGCAATAAGCTTATCAGCTGCGGCCAGACCTTGAATTCCGTCAGCATGCTGGACAGGTTCTGTCAGTGGTCACCAAAGGTCATCGTGTTGGGAAAGGTAATGGTCAGTGGGAGAGAGGAAGACCCTCAATGCGGTGGGTTGGCATGGTGACTGTCACAATGGGCGCATGTAAATCAGAGATGATGAGGACGGCACAGGACAGGGCGGGGGTCAGAGTTCTTGTTCTTAGGGTCACTATGAGTCATCCTTGGCTCAACGGTACACAGTGGTCACAACAAAATGATCCTATTTATACTCACACATCATTTCCTATTTCTAGTATGTGGCAGGATTGCTTTAGATTTGATATTTGTTCTTACGTAAAAGGAGTTTGTGAGTGGCCAGTGCTCACCTACGAGCTGAAAACGGAACTCAGGTGGTGGTGGAGCCTCGAGGGAGTTGTGCTGCTAAACCAGAGGGGGCGCTTCTCTGGCAGTTCAAGTCCACCCCTGGTTCCCAGGGAGAAAGATGGATACTCTCTCTAGTGTGATTTACAGCCTCCAAAAGACCTGCTGGAGGTTTAGCTTTAAGTCGGTTCTGACTCGATGGCTGTGAGAGAGACTGAAAGGTTGACAGTTTGAGCCTTGGTACCAGCAGTGAGGAGATCAGGAGATGTACTGGGAAAGTCTGTAGTCTGGGATTTCTCTGTATTATTGAGGAGCAATGATGTCAGTTTGAAGACTAAGATATGCCTGATTCAGACCGTGGTCTTTTCAGTCACTTGCTGTAGGGGTCTGAAAGCTGGATAGTGAATAAGGATGGCAGAACAAGAATCGATGCCTTTGAACTGTGATGTTGGGGGGAAATGCTGAAGATCCCATGGGCTGCCAAAAGAACAAATATGTCTTGGAGAAGGTGCTCCCAGGGTGCTCCCTTAAAAGTGAGGATGAAGCAACCACTGTGGAAGGCGGTGTGGCGCTTTCTCAAAAAGTTGCAAATAGAGATACCATTTGACCCAGCAATTCCACTACTGGGAATATACCCCAAAGAGACCATAACTGCCACCCAAGCAGATATATGCACCCATGTTTATCGTGGCTTTGTTCACAATAGCAAGGAGTTGGAAACAACCTAAGTGCCCATCAACAAACAAATGGATAGAGAAACTCTGTTATATTCACAAAATGGAATACTACGCTGCATTGAAAAACAAGGAACTCATGCAATATTGTTCAAAATGGGAGACCCTGGAGGACATTATGCCGAGTGAAGTATCTCAGTCACAAAAGGACAAATACTTCATGGTGCCACTGTTGTGAAACAGGACTGATCTTAGGGTTGCGGGGAGACTGAGAAAGATGAGTTAAATAATGTATACTGCATTGAAACAGATGAGGGAGAAAACTGTTTAAAAGAGATATGTGATTAGGTATTTTTGTCATGACAGGAGTCCAGAGTGAAGGCTGCAGAGTGGAGTGGACCTGGGGGGAGGGATTGTAAAACAATGAAAGAATTTTTCTTTTACTTTTCCAAGAGGGTAATGTACTAGGGGGGAGAGTTGGGAGGGGAGAAATGTGCAACAATGAATGAATGGAAATCCAAAGTCTCTGTAAATTTTCATTGAAATTAATAATAATTTTTTTTTAAAAAGTGAGAATAAATTTAAGCCATGAATGAATGGAAATCCAAAATCTCTGTAAATGATCATTACAATTATTAAAAAACATATTAAAATAACTTTTTTTAAAAAGAAAAAATTTTTAAAAATTAACAAAAACCTGAGGATGGTGAAATGCCATCTCCCCTACTCTGGGGATGCTGCTAGGAGAAATGCTTATTGCAGAAGGACATCATGCTTGGGAAGGCGCAGAGTTGGTGAAAGAGAGCTGACACAGTGACTGGTGCAGTGGACTCGAGTGTGTGAGTGAGAGTGACGATGGCACAGGACAGGACAGGACAGGACAGGGTGCAGACTGGTTGTTCATAGGGTCAGTATGAGGCGTACTCTACTCGGCAGCACCTAACAACAAGAGGCTCCTTAAGGAGCATTGCTTCATGCACTGTTCATTAAAAGGTCAGCAGTTCGAATCCGCCAACTGCTCAGTGGGAGGAGGATGGGAGACCTCCTCCCTCAAAGAGAGCAGCTCACCGGGGGCCAGGGGGACTGGCCAGCCACACATTTGGCTTGGTTTAGGAGTATATTGGGAGGTAGTCCTGAGAGCCGGCTTCCAAAACCCTTGAAAAGCCTACGAAGCAGTTCTCTGTGCCAATGGGGTCGCCTTCATTTGAATGAATGAATGAATAAGTGAATGAAATGTCAACTCTCAACTATGATTTTTTTTTTTTGTTTAAGTTGTTAAATAATAAAAACAGTGATTTTGCAGTACTGGGAAGGTGGTGTTGATTGTGTGCCCTCAAGGTAGAAGTGACCCTCCAGTGGGTTGTTTTATGGCAGGCACCCTTCTGCTCTGGGTGAATTCAAACCTCGTGCCTTTGGGATTGCAGCACAGCTTCTTATCCCTAGGCCACCGGAGCTCCCCTTAGGAAGGTAGACTTTTGAATTAATTTCTTTTCTTCCAAATAACAAATTCTATCTTTCAAACAATGACATTTTTGCCGTAGTCTTTGCAGTTGTTTGCTATGTGTTGGAGACTGGAAAACGACCAGAGACGATAGAAAGTGAATTGATGCCTTTGAACTGTGGTGTTGGACAAGAGTATTGAATACGTCCTGGACTGCCCGGAGAACAAACAAGTTCATCCAGGAGAGGGTGAAATCAGGCTGCTCCTTGGAGGCAAGGATTCGGAAGCTTTGTCTGACATACTTTGGGCATGTTGCAAGGAGGAATCGGTCCCTTGGAGAAGGATGTCATACTTGGAAGGGTGGAGGGATGGAGAAAGAGAGGGAGACCATCGATGAGATAGACTGATTCAGTGACTAGGGGTAGTTAAGGTAGGTGTGTCAGAGACAGTAGAGTTGACATAAGATAGAGCAGGTTTCAGGATTACTGTATGTAGGGTTTCTATGAGTTGCAAGCGACTCAACAGCACAACAACATCCTTCAAAATGCCACTGTGTCAGCCTAAGAATGGCTAACTATTTCCTTTTTTCTTAGGCGGGAAAAATTGCTCCGATTGGATACAGAGTTGTAAACTGCTTGACTGAGAAGCTTCCCAGGGTGAGCTTTCCTTTCAGTGTGCATTTCTGCCTTCTCCCCACCCCTACCCCTTGCTTGTAATCATCACCAAAGATAAGACTCTCAACTTTCCTTATCAGCCTTGTGTAAACTATAACACGATTTATTTGCATTTACTGATTTTCAAGATCTTCAGTCTAAGGGAATGATAATTCCAAGTTTATAATTTTCCAGCTTTGTGAAAATGACAAGGAGTAAACGAAATCTGCTTATGCAGATAATAGTCATTTATAGCATATTTTCTAATATGGGCCTTTCCTGCTAATTTTCAAAATAAAGCTTTTAAAATAAGCTTTTTATTTCTATGAAAAAAATGCATTTTAGGAAAATGTGCTAATTGGAACTGCAAGACCTGTTGCGTTTAGCACAGACTTATTATTAAAGGTATTTATTGACGGCTATAGATCAGCGCCGTTACTATTTTTAAACCTGTAAATTATCTAAAATTACATGAACCCAAGTAAGATCAGAACTGCATTCTCGCTTCCTTACAGCTTGTTACTCCACCAGAGGCAAAAAAGTTTTTCAGCTGCAGGTACCCTCCAGCTGGGGCTCAAAGAGTGTTTTACGGCAGAGCAAATGATCCCCCAATTCCATCCGATATGACGCATGGCATCAAATCGACGCGTTCAATTCCGGTAATGTTGGTCATGTTTTCTTGCCTCTCCCCTGCTTCCCCGCCTGACATGGTGTTGTCTGTAGGAAGCTGCAGTGTTAACTCAAAAGTGGTGTCTCTCCGGTGGTTCAAATCCACCAACTGCTCCACAAAAGACAGGCGGTGTCCTCTGGGGTCATTTACAATTTCTGAAAACCTGCTGGAGGGTCAGCTACAAGCGGCTTCTAACTTGGCAGCCATGATTTTGCTTTTTTAGTTAAAGTGAAGGTAAAAATGTGCAAGTGAAGTGTTCATGAGATTTACTCAGCCTTTCTTTATACTAGACTTTGTTTAACCACATTCTTTTTCAGAGAGCCCAGCTTCTTGAATAATTTGCGCACCATACAGATTGGATAAGTATGGAGAAAGGATACAACCCGGATGCATATTTTTTCATAATTTTAAACCATGTTGTGTTCCTTTGTTCTGTTCTTTAACCTGTCCTCTGAAAATGTTAGTCTTGAACTGTTAAAAAAAAAAAGTTTCCCACCTGCTGGAGAAGGAGGATCAATCTCCTTTAAGAGTCAGATCCAAGCTCTGGTGGCCTAGTGGCAGGAAACTGCACTGCAATCCCAGAGGTGTGTGGTTCAAATCCACCAGATGCTCTGCTGAAGAAGGAGGAACAATCACCTCCTGTACCAGTCAGATCCAATTTGATCGTACACACATTAAAAAAAAAAGTCAGATCCAATTTGACAGTACACATGCACACAAAATGATAAAAATTAAAAAAAAAAATATATAAATTACAAGGATCAGCCAAGACATTTTTGAAAAGCCAATGGCTTATGCCATCAACTAGTTATATTTCCCCCCAGTAGATAATATTTTTTTTTACAGTCAAGACAGATGTTGCCAGCTGGGCTTAAGGACAAAGAAGATGGTCTTAAGAGCCTCTTGTCTCAAGGCTCAATATTCACTTGCATTTTACTCACGGCCATTTAGTCGGTTCTGATTAATGGCTGTAAATTGTAACCAGAGGAGACTGCCCATCTTTTCCCCACAAAGCAGATGGTAGACTCGTATTACCGAAGACTCGAGGCTTTTGAGTTAACAGCACAGCTGGAGAGGAATGATACCAGCCGAGCTCCTGGGAGGCACCCCAGTGTGGCTACATAAGGCATAGCACGTAGACGTTTGGCTTTGGTTCCAGAATACTTTAATAAAGCAAATGCTGCAATAAAGCGAGTCGTCCACATTTCCCTAGGACATGCAAACTTCCACCGAGCTGTCCGGGAGCTCTGGTGGCCTGGAGGTTAGGGAGTTGTACTGCGAACCTTAGAGGTGGAATTCTCAAAGCCACCAGTTGCTCTGCTGGAGGTCAGCTGTGAGTCGGTACCAACTCAAAGGCAGTGAGGTTTCTGAGGCAACAGGGCGTTTTAAGTGTGCAGTCAGGTTACGATGAAGTCTGACGTACTGTGAGGACCACGGAAATGTGACACCGAGACATGGTGTGAGCACCTGGTGTTGGAATCCTGGCACTGGCCACCTTCTCCACGCAGCGTGGCCACAGCCTTCGATTTGTAAAGAACACTGCACCATTAACAAAGTGCGACAAAGCAAAGCACAATGAAGTGAGGGGCTGATGTCGTGAAAAATCTAGACTCGGGAGATCTGTCTAATTATTTGGAGTCATTTTGTGGAAATGATATAGTTCTTGTGCTTGGCATCCCCACTTTTTAAAAATATTTGGTGAGTTAAACAGGAAATCCTGCCACAAATCTTTAAACCCTGTTAAAAGGACATATGTAGGCTGATGGTTGCATACGTGTAATTGTCCCAACACTGCTATTTCTTTTGAGAGGGAGATGGGTTAATGATAATGATGAAATGCTTTCCCCACAATCATATATCTGCTGTAGACTGCGGTTCCAGTTTTCAAATATTTTTCTTCTTTATTTTTAATTTTATTAATTTTAATGAAGGTTTACAGAGATTTTGGATTTCCATTCATTCCTTGTTGCATTTTTCTCCCTGCCTGCTCCTCACCCCCTAGTTCGCTCTTCTCTCTTTTTTTAATTTATTATTAATTTTAATGAAAATTTACAGAGACTTTGGATTTCCATTCATTCATTGTTGCACAAATTTCTTTGTAAATGCATGCTTTTTATGATTTCTTTAGGCAAGCACATTTATCAACCCAAAGCCCATGACGGCATTTCAACAGAAAATGAAAGACAAACAAGAATCGATATATTTTAGCAACCAACGGGCACCTTTAGGAAGATCTTATGACCAAACGCCAGGACTGCCAAAAGGAATGGATATTCTCAACACCACCTTTGGCACAGCTGTCATCAGAGGTAGTGAGAGCATGAGAGGGCGGGAAAAGTCATTTCCGACGAAAATGGGATAAAGTGTTCTGCTGGTACAGTGTTTGGAGCATTACACAGACAACTTCAAAGGATGAATTGAATAGATGCTGGAGAGGATGTGGCGAGAAACGAACTCTTACACATTATTGGTGGGATTGTAAAATGGTGCAACCATTTTGGAAGGCAGTTTTGTGTTTCCTCAAAAAGCTGAACATAGAAATTCCGTATGACCCAGCTATTGCACTATTTGAAATGTTGTTGTTGTTGTTATGTGCCGTCGAGTCGCTTCCGACTCATAGCTACCCTATGTACAACAGCCCTAAATTCTGCTCTGTCCTGTGCCAATCCACTGTCTCTGACACTCCCATCCCGATCACCCCAGTCACTGAATCACTCCGCCTCATAGAGGGCCTTCCCCTCCTGCACCGTCCCTCCACCCTCCCAAGCATGATGTCCTTCTCCAAGGACCGGTCTCTCCTCACAACATGTCCAAAGTATGTTAGACGGAGCCTCAGAATCCTTGCATCCAAGGAGCCACCCGGTTTAACCCTTTCCAGGAAGAATCTGTTTGTTTTCCTAGCAGTCCATGGTATTCTCAATACTCTTCTCCAGCACCACAGCTCAAAGGCATCTACTTGGAATAGACCCTGAGAATATGAGAACTGAGGTACAGACTGAGATTTGTACACCAGTGTTCACAGCAGCATTATTCATCATCACAACAACATGAAAACAGCCCAAATGTCCAACCACAACCGAATGGATTTATAAATTATGGTACATTTATACAATGGAATACTATGCAGCATGTACGAACAATAACTTTGTAAATTATTATCTAAAGTGGGAGGAACTGGAGAACATTATGCTGAGTGAATTCAGTCTCACAAGGATAAATATTGTATAAGACCGTTATTGTAGAAGGAATATAAGGATGCAGGAGGGGAGGGAGAGGCTGGAAGTAGAGGGATGTGGATGTGCAGGGGAAGAGGGAATTAATCATTGGGTTGTACAATTTGATGGGGGGTGTGTGATGGAAATGAAAAGAATTTGTTCAAATTTGTGTTTGAATTTTGTAAGTAAACTAGTAGAAAAAGAAAAAGAAAGAATAAAGTTAGGATCCTAACATTATGTCAGGGATTACATCCAGGGGACTAGAGCATTTGGTAAATGCTGCAGATGATACCCCATCTCTGCAGATTCATAATGCCTGCATGCTGTCTTGACAGAAGACTCTCAGGACAGACATCTACTGCCATTTTCAGGGGGAGGGGGAGGGGACACATCTTGCAGCAGAGACCAATTGCTAACAGAGTTGCTCACAGGTGCTTCTTCCTTCTGAAGACCCAGCCTCCCACCATACTGTTTACATTTTTTTTTTCACCAACCTCATGTTTCTCTTTGTCGGTCCTTTCTAGGTTTGCCCCCATTACTATTATTTTTTTTATTATTTTATATTCATTTGCGTACAGTGTGTACATATTGTGTTTCACACTATACTTCATTCACACTGTGTTTCATACAATCCTTCTCATTGGTTGGTTTATAAAACCAATCAGCATTGAACTATGCCCACCACTGCTTCATTTTTCCAGATCCCCGCAGGATCTTTCCCATTTCCTTTTCCCCTCTCCCTCCACCCACCAAATTGTGAGACCCTTAGATTTTCCTCCTCCCCATTCTCATCCCTCTGCTCCCACCCTCCTTCCTTGGATCCTCACACACGTTTTACTAGTTATCTTTCTATTTATACAATAATGGTTTAGTATAGTATTTGTCCTTATGAGACTTGTTGCAGACCGAGGGTGAAGTATATTAATAATTAATAACGAGACAGAACACCAAGAACGAGATAAAACAGAGCATATAAAACAGGGGGCCAGCAGTTCGAATCAACTGAAGGACCACAAGCCACACCTCTCTGTGTATTAATTGAGAGTCAGGGGAAACAAATCATGAAGAGAATTCTTTTGTAAGTGAAGCTGAATTTTTCTCTATTGTCAACCCGATACTTAGTTCAGGAAGGAAGTATTTCACATGTATTAACACTCCCTCTGCAAGGGAACCCTAGCTATCTCTTATCTGCAGGAAACAGCTCATTTCCTGTGATCTGTTACAAAAGAAATTCCAACTTACAAATTTGTGATTCCTTCAATTCCTGAATAAGCATATGGTTTTTCATATAATATTTGGTATGCAATTTGGCTTCCTATAGAGACTGACTTAGTTCACTGAGCATAATGCTCTCCAGTCTTTCCCAAGCTGTGTAGTAATTTTCAAAATTGTTGCTTTGGAGTGCTGCATAGTATTTCATCGGGTGAACGTACCATTTTCCAGTCCATTTGATTGCAGTTGGATACCTGGGCTGTTTCCATGTTCTCATGATTATGAATAACCCCAAAGCCCATTTTCCTTTTTCCTGTGGCCAAGTCCAGTCTTCATTTGGTTATTTTGGTACCCATTAAAGCTCTGTATCAGGAAACTTCTCTTTTTTCACCAATAGGTCTATTAGGTTGCCTTGTTAACATCTATCTACCCTGGAGATAAATCATACAATTTCCTAAGAAGGAAAAAATATGCAGTTTTACCTTACTTATTTCATCTGATTGAAGATACATCAGTCATCAGACACCCGAGAAATATGAAAATTTGAAATACTGCAAAATGTATTTTAGAATCGATCAAGTATCCGTCCCCCCCCCCCCCGCCTTAAAGTTAATACTGATTTACCTAAACTGTTAGTAGGCATGTTGTTGTTGTTAGGTGCCATCGAGTCAAGTACGACTTATAGCATGAAGAGCTTATCTGAACCCTCCTCTATTCTGTGCCATCCTAATAATCTCTCAAACACTCAAGCCCATTGCCACAGTTTCTATATCAAACCACCTGGCCAATGATCTTTCTCTCTCTTACCGTCCCTCCACCTTTCCAAGCATGATATCCCTCTCCAAGGAACCCAAAGGATGTGAAACGAAGCCTCATCATATTATAATTAAGTTGTAACGACCATCAAAGATTAAAAAAGCATTTTGTAGATAAAGTTTTAAATACGTACTAGAAAGAATACTTCACAATACATGTGTGCATGTATTAGTGGAGCTAATGCAACGTGTCTCTGGAACCTCTATGAACTTAGATAAATGACAGTAGTTATAGAAAGACTTCAGGCCTTTTGTTCATAAGGTCGCTGTGAGTCTTGCTCAACTCGATAGCAATCAACAACAACATTGGATTCATATAGAAAAGTGGTGTTTTACAGAGTGAAGTAGGGTCATGGCCTTGTGTTCTTACCTATTTGTTTATACACCACACTCCCTAAAATAAAGGAAAAGATCCCAATCTATGTTGGCTTAAGAGAACACCTTAAGATGTATTGTTTGGAAGGGAACAGTGAAACGGTTAAAGAACACACTTGGTGGCCTAATGGCAAGAAGCTGCACTGCAATCCCAGAGGCATGCAGTTCAAATCCTCCAGATGCTCTACTGGAGAAGGAGGGGCAAATCTCCTCCTGTACTAGTCAGATCCAATCTGATGGTACACACAAAAAGAAAAGGGGGGGGGGAAATGAACATACATACATTTAAAAATTATTAAGTAACACAATGAAAAAATAATTTACATTTTCAAAATTGAGGACACCCCACTCTGCCTCCAAGTCAGGGGAAATGGTTGTTAAACCAACCAGAAGCTGAATGAGTGGGACCAATGGAATGAAGGCTCTGTTCTGGATTCCAGTAACTGCCCTGAAAGCTTTGGTGACTTTGAACACTCAGCTTGTGTGCTGGAGTCCGTGAGTGACACCCTGTGCAAGCTGGTGATTCCACAGAGCACCAGGGCTTCGAGAACTGAGGCTGCATTCCTGCTGGCTCACATTCAAGACTTAGAACAAACGAAAACCACCCTGGTCCAGAGATCCTGAGGATCAAGCATTTAATTGGACTTAGGATGGGAGCTCAGGAGCACCTCAGTGCCTAACTGACACAGATTTCTGCTCATCTTCGGAAGGCCAGGCCATCAGTCAGGTCAAGAGGGGTCCCTAGTGCACAACCACATACGTGCTATCCCGACTTTTTGGTTTTTTTAAAGGAAATCTTAATATGTGCAGGCCTCAAGAAATTGCAGCCAGAGAGAGTGCTCTTTGGAGACAAGGATGGCAAAACTTTGTCCCACATACTTTGGGCCTGTTGTTAGGAGAGGCTATTCCGTGGAGAAGGACATCAAGCTCTGAAAAGGAGGAAGGGTCAGAGAAAGAGAGGAAGACCCTTAACCAGATGAATGGACCCAGTGACTGCAGCAACGGGCTCGGCCGGGTCAGAGATGGTGAGGAGGGCACAAGATAGGACAGGGTTTAGGTCTGTTGTTCACAGTCACTACGAGTCCTACTCAATTCGATGGGACCCAACAACCACAACGGCATGATTTTCTGGGGGAGTCAGTGTCAGCCAGCATATTCCACTTGTCGATTATTCTAGCCATTTAAAATACCTGTGAATAGAAGAAAAAAACTGCTAACTTTCTTTAATTCTTCCTTCAGAATTGTCTGCTAGGGATGTGGTGAATCCACCCAAATCCTATGGAGAAGTACTTAAAGAAACAACAGAAGGACATGACCTGTATGTTATTTCTCACAATGATTACTATGCAGGTAAGTGTCCTGCAGTGATGTGGGTAATGGTCCTGATTATAGGACCCCGTCAGATTTGGGAAGGAGAATGAAAGAGATAATGTGCATACTTACATGTCTGTCATCAAATAATAAGTGCTCACAAATGACTCTTGCTTTTATTATTCATCCACTTCCTAAACAACATGCCTCTGGAAACTCTAGGGACTCTGATAAATGACGATAATTATAGAAAGGCTTCAAGCTTTTTGTTCATAGGGTCTCTGTGAGTCATGCTCGACCCGATGCCAATCAACAACAACAACGTAAACTCTGAAAGCTGGGGAAACAGACGCTTATGCATCGTATAAATAAAATGTGGAATATGAATGAAGGATAGTGTGAAACACAATATATATAAACTTTGTAAGCAAAGCAACATAAAATAAAAATTATAAAACCAAACTAAACCAAACAAAACCCCCAAACAAACAATAAATAAAATGTGGAAATGTTGTTGTTGTTGGGTGTCACTGAGTTTAGTATGACACATAGCCTCTCCTATCTGGTGCTGTCCTCACAATGTCTAACGCGCTGGGGCCCATTGCAGCAGTCACTGTGTCAACGGACCTGGTTGAGAGTCTTCCTCACCTTTCCTGACCCTCCACTTTTACAAGCATGATGTCCCTCTCCAAGGAACTGCCTTTCCTAGCAACACGCCCAAAGTGTGTGAGATGAAGCTTTATCCACTTACCTCCAAACGATACTCTGGCTGCACCTTCTCCAAGACATATCTATTTGTTCTTTTTGGCTTTTCAGGATATAGTCAGTACTTTTCTCCAAAATCACAGTTCATAGGTATCAATTCTTCTGCCATCCTTATTCACTGTCTAGTTCTCAGATGCATAACAAGTGATTAGACCCTGAGCTGAGTCAGGCACACTTTAGTTCTCAAATGGATGTCATTGCTCTTCAGGAATTTGGAGAGGTTCCTGACTAACAGACGTTCCCAGTGTACTACATCTCTTGATCTCCTGACTGCTGGTACCAAGTGTACCGATTTTAGATTCAAATAAGACGAAGTCATTGACAGTTTCAATCTTTTCTCCATCTGTCAGTGTGGGCTACTGGTCCAGTGGTGAGGATTTTTGTTTTCTTGACGTTGAGATGCAGTCCATATTGAGAGCTGCACTGTTTTCTTCAGCAAGTGCTTCAAATCCTCCTCACCTTCAGCAAGCAAGGTTGTGCCACTTGTATAACGAAGGTTATTGATGAGTCTTCCTCCAATCCTGATGCTACATTCTTGCTTATTGACTCCAGCTTATCAAATGATTTGCTCAGCATACAATTAAATAAAGAAGGATAAAACTGTGACATACATCTTTCCTAATCTTAAACTGCAGTGTTTTCTTGCTTTGTTCATACAGTGGCCTCTTGATCTAGATCTAGATCTAGGTTTCACACAAACATGAGTATTCTGGGATTCCCAGTCTCCATCATGTTAGCCATAATTTGTTAAGCTCTACCCTGTCAAATTCCTTTACATAGTCAATAAAGCACAGATAGACATACTTCTGGTATTCTTTGCTTTCAACCAGGGTCCATCTGACATCAGCAGGGGGATCTACCATCATCAGTGGCCTCCTGGATGCCAGCCCAGGCTGTGTGGTCACAAATTCCACTCAATGTTTTCAGTGCCAACTTAAAGTGCTTCTTCCAAAAGAAAGTTGTGCTCCTTAAACTAGAAGTTTTTCTTTTTAAAATAGAAAGCGAACTAGTAAGACATGTATAAAAATCCAGAGGGAGGGAGGGAGGAAGGGAGGGAGGAAAGGGCCTGAGGGTGGGGAGGGGGAAACTCATGGGGTTTTGGTGGGTGAAGGAATTAAGAAAGATCCAGTGGGGAGCTGAAAAAAGACGGGGGTCACAGTGGGCATAGATCAAAGGTGATTAATTTTATTAAACACAATGCATGGCAATGATCATAAAAACACAATGTGAATGAAGGAATGTGTGAAACACAATGTACATGGGTGAAACCCAGTATATAAGAATTTTGTACGCAAACCAGTATAAAATAAAAATAAATTTAAAACTTTTTTTCTGCCCAGGGGAAGCAAAGAATCGGAAGTATGACTCACCACGTTTCCACAGGTTTAACTTGTATGGAGTCCCAACACCCCATTTTAATGATGGGCGAAACATGGCAAAGTCTTTATTTTGGCTTCATGAGCTACAAATGTAAGTGTACTGCTACTGTGTCCCGGAACAAGTAATTCATATATGGACTTAAAGGAAAGTTCATTTCCAATTTAATTTTAAAAGAAGTTATATATTGATGTAGTTCATCAAATGACTAGAAAAAGGACCTACAGGGCAAAAACCTCACTTCCTAATTCTCCCTAGTCATTTCCCCTAGAAAGGACCTTGACACTGTGTGTGTGTGTGTAATTCTACAGTTACTTTTGCCTCTACAAGCAAATATAAGTGAGCTGTGCTGCCAGCTCGAAGGTACACAGTTCGAATCTACCAGCTGCTCCACAGGAGAAAAATGGGGTATCCTCCTTCTATGCAATTTACTGTCTCTGAAAACCCGCTCAAGGGTCAGCTAGAGGTCGGTTCTCACCTGATGGCATACAACAACAACAACAGCAACAATATCTGATCGACTTGACTCATGTACCTTAAGGAAAATGAATTTTTAAATCCCTACAAAGACTATATAACACCGTTTGTTGTTGCCGACAAGTCACAGCAGCTCTGAACAACAGGTGTGAACCTGGCGGCGTCCTGCATCACCCTCACCGACTCTGAGCTCAGGGATTCGCAGACACACGAAGAACTTGATCTTGAGCTGGCGCGCCCATTCTGTGGGGTGATAGTGATGTTACGACTGTCCGTGTCCTGTTGTACCCAGCTACACACAGACAGTTCTCTATCCTCTGTGTGTGTTTATCGCTCTGAAGTTACTTCATGCTTTACAAACAAATAAAAGGACATATATATGTTATTAAATTTGAACATCAACTTCATTTACATATTTTAAAGAAAATAGCTTTTTGGAGTGTAGTTTAGCCCCTTTGAAACTGAAAAGGGGCTGCTCTGTGATTTAGTCTTAGATGTTAACGTCCTGTCATTTCCTTGATTACATCTTTTGGCGTTTCTTTTAATTTTTATTTTATACTGATTTACTTACAAAGTTTATATCTATTGTTTTTCACACCAGATTGTTGACACTTTTGGTTTAAACTATGGCCAATAAACTGCCATTGTTTGGTCCCTCCCACCACCTGACGTTATCTTGTCTTCTAACAAATGAGAGGAAGGGGAGGAAATGAAGGATGGCTTATTTTATCTTTAATCTTTTGTTTCTCCACAGAGTGTCACTCTTCTCCAGTAATTTATGCAGCTTGATAATATTTCTGTAACAGGAAATATTTTTAAAAGTGTGCAGGGTTTAAAAATCTAATGTTCATTGTTTTTATTCGTAGCACAACAATAGATAATTTATTAATTTTAATTTGTTAAATAGACATATTGTATTTTTACAGTTTTAAAAAGAAATGTTATATATTTAATCACAACAATAGAGACAATACAATTATGTTACAGAAAATTGGTAAAATACAGTCACCTGTAATTCTATCACCTTCAATCAACCATTATTATAATTTTAGTATATTTCTTTCTGGTTTGGTTTTCTGGGTTTTTTCTGCATAGCATTGCTAAAGGTGCAGCAGATTATTTCATATCTTGCCTTTTAACGCTCATGACTTAATGCTAAAAAGTTATGCTGCCAACTCAAAGGTACACAGTTTGAATCCAGCAGCCTGTTCATGTGAGAAAGATGGGCAGTCTCCTCCTGCATGATTCAGTGTCCCTGGAAACCCACTGGAGGGTCAGCTCTAAGTTGGTTCCTACTCCATAGTATGCAAGAATAACAGCATATAATACACCACATCAACAGTCACAATACATCACATCAACAGTCACAAAACATCACATCAACAGTCACAAAATATCACATAGACAGTCACAAAACATCACATCGATGGTAACAATACATCACACCGACAGTCACAATACATCACATCGACAGTCAAAAAACATCACATCAACAGTCACAAAACATCACATCAACAGTCACAAAATATCACATAGACAGTCACAAAACATTACATCGATGGTAACAATACATCACACCGACAGTCACAATACATCACATCGACAGTCATAAAACATCACATCAACAGTCACAAAACATCACATCAACAGTCACTAAATATCACATAGACAGTCACAAAACATCACATCGACGGTAACAATACATCACATCGACAGTCACAAAACATCACATCGACAGTCAAAATACATCACA